CAAATGCAGCAAAAACAATTTGCTCACAGCAATTTCCCACAAACAGTCATGAGGTGAATTGCCAATTTTATCTGGGGAATTGTTGGCAGGACACTGGGAGAAACTCGCTCATTAATTGTACCTTTTATACTTAACAGAACACTGATTGTGCTTTGCTTTAAAATAGGATACATTTATTAAAAGACATTGGCAGAAGCAAGAAGTTAATTTATATTGTGGAGGTCAGGTAAAGGAAACGTGTCAATTGATTTTGCAGAATGAGGTTAATTAGAAATAGAGTGAATGCTGTTATTTAGGCGAACAGCAGTTCATTTTTAGCAGCAATATCTTACAACAAATGACAATAGCCAATTCACCTGAATCAAGAGCAGCGAATTGCATTGCTATTTTTTAAAGAATAATAATAATCCTTGTATTTGATATAGCTTTGGGAGGATGTTTCAAAGTGCTTCAAAGGATTGACTGTAAAGTGTAGTGACTGTGAATTTTTACAGGTGAACACTTACAAAAGTGCATATTAAAGGGTACTATTCTTCCTAACGATGTATTTAACACCTAATTGGTATAACAGGACATGGAATAAGTTAGCACGGATGTCAGAAATGTATATTATACAAGTCGACATTAGCTTGTGGCTCGAAGGGAGTTTCAGACTTTGCTTTTTCACTACAGTTCATTCTCAATAGAATTCTCTTCAGAAGCTCTTTGAAGAGCAGCAGCCGAGGCCACGATTCACATTTCTGCCAGCTCTGCCTCGCACCTCGTGAGGTTTCAAGCAGGGTTGGTTGAAAAGGAGCTGCTGTGTAACATCATGGGGACATTTCCTCTGTGACTGTTACCAACATGTTCGGGAACATAGATGAAAAGCAGCAAGGGAAAAGAGCAGACCGAGAAATCCTGCAGGGACTGTGCGACGTTTAAGATCCCATTGATAATTATAATAACTGGGCCATTGTGGATTCAGAAACTGAGGATAAAGGAACATCACGCAAAATAAAAATTATCTAGAGCAAAAGGTTCAGCCTTCAGAATTATACTGCACTGTAGGACTGCACCACTCTTCCTTTTCCACTGCCTTTCCCTCTTTAAGACTCTCTCTGTCTAAATCAATCTCTCTTTATTTTAGAGTCTCAGAGTTGCACTCTCTCTCTCTGCGCATTTTACTCCTGCCTCTATCTCTGAGTCTCTCGCTCTCTCTCTCTCACACACACACACAGAGTTTCTCCTCTATTTGAGACATAAAGGGAGTTTCTCCCAGCGTGGTGGCCAAAAATACCATAGATTAATTGATCATTCACAGGGTGATAGTTTGTGGGACCTTGCTGGTGAAATTTGAATACTGTACTTCTCAAGCCAAACGGAAATATTTTGTTTCGCCCACAAAATATACAGTCACTTTACTTTACAGGATATTCTGTGAAGCGCTTTCAGACGTCTCAAAGATGTGAAAAGGTGAACATGCAAAGATTATTATAATACTAGGCCAGACCAGCCTGAATCTTTCCAGAGCTTACAAAATACAGTCAATCCACTTTACAGCAAATCCTGGAGGGCACTTTGTTATGCCTCGACGTCGCGATAAGGCGTTATATCAAAATGAAAGGACTATTATTCATTCACAGTGCCAGACGCTCGCTTTCCACCCTTGCCCTCCCACGCCCCTATTCCCTGCTGCAATCGAATGTTTCTGCTTCGCTCTGGTTTTCAGTAGGAAGTGGAGCAATCAAGTTTGAAATAGACATGCTGCTAGCCACTGATCGTTTCTTTTGAGTTTGATGTTAATATACTCTCTGGAGACTGTGTATCAAACTCACCTCTTCTAATGCAATTGCAGGTATAATTCTGTTAAGAATGTAATTTCTCTGAGTGCAATCGATATGACCCTTTTAGCTATTCTCGTTGGGCACTGCATGCCATGAGTCATTATCACTTAAACGTGCACAGAGACACTCCTTGCCACCACAAACCAACAATACCAATCAACTGCGATTTGTAAATGAATATTTCCACATTTTTAATTATTTTTGCAAATACTCGTCAACTCCCACTAGGCGTAGAAGTTTTTATATAATATTACGAATGACTCTGTCTATGTCATCAGGATTTGGGTAAGGAAACCAATTGGCAGAGGCTGAGAATGAGTCACCTGTTCAACGTTTGAAATGCGAAAGTGAAGTTAATCAGTAAAGGTTTCGCTCTGAATCAAATCCTTGTCAGCTGTGTGAAACACTCTGAGCCATCCTCCCAATATGAAATGAGCTCCAAAAAATAAATCATTGGTGTTGTTGGGTTCAAACCATATCGTTGTCATTTGAGTGAGTCTGGATTCAAAGTTTGTTTTGATGCTTCTGTAGGTATATTCAGACAACTAAGCAGTACAACTTTTAATGAGATTTAGTAGCATGCTGGCTGTTTGAACTTGAGGTACACGTAACAGAGCTGACCTTAATTACTGTCACTGTGAATTCAATATGTCCACTGAGAATTTAAGACAGTTAGAAGCAGTTTTCCAATCCTTTGCAAAATCTTGTGTCCTTGCCCCTACTTCTCCAGCCCATTGAAATGTTCCAGCTCAGACCCTTGAATCAATGCTTTAATAAATGCTGTCAGTGGTACTTATTCTGTGACCTGTGGAGGATAGACCTGAGCTGAATACAAAACACAATGGATTTCCTTCCTCCTACAGGCAAGTCAGCCAGCCCTCAGGAGAGTGCCTGATATGAACATTAATCCACGGCCTGGAGGCTAGGGTGCTACAGTTACCACCTTGCTCTGAAGTAATCTGTTCTGGCCAATAATTCCCGAGATAAAACAAAATTTGTGATTCACTTCATGGCTGTTTTGTGTGCAAATTGGTTGCCACGTTCACCTATAAATACACAGACTACACTTTACAGTAAAACACCATGAGTCGTTTTGGGATGTTTTTCGACGACCTGTTAAGGGCTATAATAAATGCAAAGATTATTACTCCAGTCTAATGATCACATCATTAATTAGCTTGTTTGTTTTGAAAGAAGCATTTATTTCTATCAGTTTGCACCCTTTATTTTAAAATCAGTATTTTTTGTTTAGCCTTCCGTAGGGCTTCAGTGCCCAGTATACAATAGGTAAGGCAGGGCTACCCATTTCAGACCTTTTTTAATTGTGCTCTTGAGATGTGTGAGTGCAGTGAAAGCTCCCTATTCCCCAGTGAAAGAAAGCTACCTAGTCATCTTTCTATTCCCCCCCTCTCTCACTCACATAAGCATGTACGCAGTGCTGATCCCGAATGGGAAAGAGTGCGGAAAACCAAACCCAGAAACCATTGAACTTGCCAATTACAAAGCTCTGATGTATTTACATTAGAACTGATAGACAATCCAATTAATGGTGATATTTAATTTCCCTGAGGGTAAGTTAATTAAGCGTCTTCAATGGTAACTTTATTACATTCTGATCCTTTTGATCTTAGGCTTATTTAAGTGTTTAGTATGATTGGAGCACCTCAGCTCTCTATTGTGTTCATTTTTTACTAGTTTACTAATAATAATCTCTGAAAACCAAAAACAATAATAAATTGGTCATTTTCAATCTACGACTGTTTGTGGGACATTGCTGTGCGCAATTGGCTGCCGCGTTCGCCCACAAATATACAGTCAATTCACTTTACAGTGTGTTCTGTGAAGCGCTTTGGGACATCCTCCCGACGTGAAAAGCGCTATATCAAATGCAAGGATTATTATTATTAGTTACAGATCCTCTGAATGCAATTTTGTTCTTCTGTGGTCCATCCTTTTCCCTTAGACACAGTTCAATATCGATTTCAGTCATCTAAAAAAATACATGCCTGCTACAGTATAGGATCTCAAAGATCAATGTCTATATTACGGGACTTCAATTATACTGCATATTAAGACAAATTCACAAACTATTAACATTGGAACATGCCACAAATTGCACAAAATCTCAACAGTAGGTTTCAAACCTCTTTTTTGCTTTTTTATAAATCTACAAATACTGGCCAGAATATAATATTCAGCGTAATATTCAGTTAAGTTGCTGTTTTACGAATTGAATTTGAATGCTTCTTAACTCAATTTACAAGCAATGAGGAGAGAGGTAGGTGTGGTAACCCATAGCAACTGCCATGCTTCAATATTCAGGCTGGGTGACTATTAATCCTGCTGTGGCATCTTTACATCGACTGTGTGCTGAAAAGGGATATCTATATTCATTTACAGTCCAATTAAAATATACGATAATAACATTTTCCATGGACACCGAAACTAGGAGGCATTGCTAATCTTTCCAAGGTTTTGCAAATACAGTCATTTGCAGAAGGGCTCAGAGCATTTTAAGCTTCAATTTGTATTTGATAACACTGTTATGTAGTGTGCTACTTCATGGCTCAGCCCTGCATAAGATAGTAACAATTGCAGGTATGATTCAACTAAGCTGGATTTTTCCAAGTCAAGGCTTGTATAAATTGGAAGGGGAGAGAGCAAAGTCAAACAGTACATACACACTGTATTAAATACTTGAAAGCTTAATTGGGTAAGGTGTAAACTATATAGGTTTTAAGCTGCCATTTGCTTCAAGTTGAATGTATTATTGAGTTTATGCAAATTCTCTAAATATTACAGTATCTCCTGATGCGTGAATGCAGAAGAGGTATCATTAGTGCATCTGGTTGGATAATGAAAGGCCTTCAATTTAAGTATCTACAGTCTTTATCATAATATCATAATAAGTACCTACACTGAAGAGTGCCCACCCATATTGATAGTAGTTCAGGGTTTGGGGTAAATTTGCACAGAAGTTAAGTATTATTGGCTTGTATTTTGCATATTTTCAGTTAATACACCGAGTGACTGACAATTTCAAACCTTAAAAATTACTAGCAAACGTTAAGATCATACCGTACTGATTAGATGGTTTCGCCCAGCCTATCTATGCACAAATGTGCTGATATAAAGACATGGAACAATCAGTGGTAAAATGATGGATGCATGCAGTACCTTTGCACTTCCCTTAAACTGGAAGAGATCTTCAGGCTGTGACCCAGCACGTAGAGAGTGGCCAGGATATCAGCCCATTGAACCAATTCACCCAGCGGACCACCCTTTGACACAACAGGGCTGAAAACATCCCCCGCTTCCTCAGTCAAGAAACCCAAGTGAACCAGAATCTATACAGAAAGACAGAATGGCCAACATCAATGAGACTGCAAGGTTCTGACATAAATACCTGTTAGTCCTTGAACCTGGAATGCTGGGTTTGTATTGAGTCACAAGATCATAAATGAAAATTGGATCAAGAAGACCCTTTGGCCCATTTGATCTCATCATCCCAGAATACCCACCCATCACAAACAACAACAACTTGCATTTACATAACTGAGCTTATAATTTATATAAGATTTGTGCATCTGATAGCATAGTTCTTGGTTTACTTTCTCAGTCCCATTTAAAATCTTACATCCTTCCGTTAAAAAAACAGAATTGAGCATCAATCAGTTCTCATATTCATTATGACTTCCTTCTTTGATCTAATAGAGATCAACGGTTTGCAGCACAGAGTTATCACGTCTTTACGTCTTCTAGACGTCTCTGGAGAACTGAATTATCTTATATTACTGGTTTCTCAACAAGTGAAAACAACCTATTAATGTTTGCCTTATTGAATCCTTTCATAGTTTCTACATTGAATCAACAGATGCCAAAAATGTACAGCATTGGCCAATATCAAGAATCAAATGATTGTGCACTGTACTGCTTTAAGCAGTGCTGCGTGATGTATTACAGCAATTGATTTTGAAGTGTTTAGACAGGATTTAATGCCAACCTTTGCGAAAGCGAGCCTAGGCACACAAACACATCTATCTGCACGACCTGAATGTTCTAGCAGGATGAATAAAGATAAATGTTTACCATTCACCTCTACTGTGATTGGACTCATCTACAGTTTTCTTAAAACAAATTAAGAAATGTCTCCACACCAAGAGTGCACATCTCACCAGAAAAAGCAGAAACGCTGGCAATTCAGCTCCAAACCAGGTAATAGTTATACAATTTGTCCTCAGAGATTAGAAACAGCACTGTAGGATTGTTCAAACTCTACCCAAACGTTATGTACATAATTTTTATAGATTTTTGTATCTTACATTCACAAAGAACAGACTGCTCACTTGAAGGCACATTATACAGGATGTACCAAAGTGTAATGTTGATCCCTGGAGTCAGATACTTCTCTGCCATCACATGAGCTCTTTAAAGATAAATGTGTTCAATCATCACTAGGCTGACTTCATCCATGTGGGAACATCTATTTGTTGCCTAGTCCAGTGCTTTGTTTCTGTGACCACCTAATTTTGCTGAGCAAAATGAATAATCCTAACTGTGCGATCACTAGATAAATGCATGATGTATGGGCTCGTCCAGAAACCAAATCGAGTGACAGACGAGTTATACTAGCGTGCCTGTTGTTATTTGACACCTTCATATAAAAAGGGCTAATGGTTTTCAACAGCTACCATGTAGATCTAATAGACAATCTCAGAACTATTCAAAATGATTTGTAGCAAGATTACCGACTCCGTACCCAATGCTACTGTTAAATTAGCCCTTTTGGAATTTTAGATTATTTTTTTGCAAAAACGTGGCAGTTCCTTTAAAAACACAGTCATGAAGTGGGCTTTATTCGCTACTGAATAATATGGTGTCAAACTGAAGATGAGAAATAGCGGATTAACCTTTTCCAAAGTGAAACTGGGTGAGGAGATGACAAAACTGCAGACATAATGAAAACACCTCATTATAATTGGAAAACAGCAACAAAACAATAAGGTATTCAGCTCATGGAGCCTTGTCCCACAAGTTTAGATTTTAGCAGATCTTTTAAGCCTGATGAATTTTTGCCATACCCCTTAGTATCTCCACTGCCTAAGTATCTATTTCTCTTTTAAATATTCCTATTGATAATAGTAATAATAATCCTTGCATTTGATATAGCGCTTTTCTTTTTTTTCCTCCCTCCACAGGCTCCAGATAATCCAGAACTCTGCAGCCTGTGTCCTCTACCGCACCAAACTCCGTGACCCCATCTCCCCCATTCTCGCCCAATTCCATTGGCTCCCTATCCTTCAGAGGATCCAGTTCAAGATCCTGGTCCTCACATAAAAAATCCTCCACGGCCTCACCCCATTCTAACTCCTAACCCGCTACCAACCCACCCGTTCCCTCTGCTCAGCCGGCTCTGGCTGCTCCACGTCCCCCGACCCACACGCACCACCATTGGCGGGAGAGCCTTCAGCCACTCTGCCCCCAACCTCTGGAATTCCATCCCCCAGTCACTCGGCCTCGCCCCCTCCTTAGTCTCCTTCAAGTCCCACCTCAAAAACCTCCTCTTTGACCATGCCCTCGCTTCTCCCGCCCTGACGCCAGATCAGGTCAGAAATGCTGTACTCTGTCCAGCACCTTGGGACGTCCTCCCGACGTGAAAGGCGCTATACAAATGTAATCTTGTTGTTGTTGTTTCACGTCTTCTAGACGTCTCAAAGCGCTTCACAGAATATACTGTAAAGTGAATTGACCGTATATTTGTGGGCGAAACGCGGTAGCCAATTGCGTACAGCAGCGTCCCACAAACAGTCATGGATTGAATTGACCAAATTATTATTGTTTTTTTCTTGACGGATTATTACCAGGTGTGTCGAGTAAGGAAACTTGCCTAAGGTTTCGCCCTGCCGGGAATCGAACCTAGGTCTCTTGCTTGCGAGGCGAGCGCTCTAACCACTGAGCTACAGGACTCCACTTCTTCACCTCTACATTGCACACCTTGCAATGATTGCACCTTTACAGCTTTTTTGGGGCAGAGCATTCTACGCCTTCGCAAACCTATGTGTGAGAAAATACCTCTTAACCTCAATTCTAACCATCTCATTTTAAGATGAAACCCCCTTCTAATGGATCCCTGTAGCAAAGGGAGGAGCTATCCAACCTCTAACCTTTCGAGTCCTCTCATTATTTTAAATACCTCAATCAACTCAGCCCTTAAGATCTGGGCTGAGAATTGAAAGTAAAGTCAAAGAAGAAGAAGCAGAAAGAGATATAAAGGATGAAAAAAGACTTACTCCACACTCCTGGTAATAATCCCTCAAGAAAAAAATACAATAATAATTTGTTCACTTCAAATAATTTGGTAATATATGTACGGTATAGCTATCTTTCTCAGGCTGTGGTTAAACTCGGCTCAAAATTTAATACAGCGGGCTTTAATTTGTGTTATTTTTCAATGAGCTTTCTTCAAAAGAAATCTGAGTCACGCATTTGGGAACTCCTTACGCTAACCGTATGATTGACATGCTGAACCTCGGGAATTCCACTCCCAGGTGACCTGATCCACAGGTAAATTCCCCACAGGAATTCTAATTATATTGCTCACCAAGAAGTCCTGATAAGAAGCATCGCAAATCAAATCCCATTTGGTGGGAGTAGGTGCACAATTGGAATTAGAAGGCTGGATATGAATCAGGTACATGGCCCTCTACAAACTCACCTTCTTCCTCTGACTCTTGTTCATCTTCAGCTTCTGATTGAGTTTTCGGGAGGCCAAAATCCAATGCATTGACAATCTCCGGATTCGCTTTTTCATGAATATCAATGATTCCTTTCCGCTGCCCATGAGCTCAAGAAGAGGTGTGAAGTCAGCCCGAAAGACTGCCTGCTGCTGTGAAAGAGAGAGATCAAAGTCAGATCTTCAAGGACACCAGTGGCCACTTTAATTTGGATGAATGGACATTAACCTATCGTCGGAGTAATCCTATTTGAAGAGACCAAATCCCTATGTGCTCCAAAGCATACGCTAATGAAAGACCAACAACAACAAAATTACATTTGGATAGCGCCTTTCGCGTCAGGAGGACATCCCAATTACGTTAAACTAAGACTTGCAAAGATCAACTCAAGATTTGACATTTGCTTTGTTCACTTTACATCCTGAGCAAAAACTTGACAATTCCCGTTACTGTCAATGGTATCATTGAAATCAACATTTTAGTGAATTTGTAGAATTAAAGGGAAGGGAACCTACTACTGAATTGTAATGGGATCATGCATGTTATGGACATTTATAACTTTACAGGTGTCACCCTGTTAATCTATATAACCCTCTTTTATGCTCTGTAACAAGAAATGGAACTCAACTTGGGCTAACCACATGCAAATACAGGAGGTCATTTTAGATTCCATAATTGTGTAATTAATAATCAATGAAAAGGATCACAAGGTGATTACATAACATTTTCACTGATTGTTAATCACATAATTAAGGGTTACTGATATTCCCTCAGCACACGTCTATTTGCACAAGGTTAACCTAACATGCAAATTAGACCCCAATGAGTGAGTCACACCAAAATTAGCTTTCTGCAGATTCTCTCTAATGAACAAATGCACTTAAAAATGGGACTGGGATATGTCTCATCCACTCACAGCTGTAGGTCAATTCTGTACACAGATCTACTCCAGTGTCGAGCTAAACTGCTCAGGTCAAAAATAAAATAAAGCACTTTGAGTCTACAGCTCCATGTTTCAAATTCCAAATCCCAAGTATTTGTAGCATGAACTCCGCTGTTTCAAAGAAAGAGAATCCATAAAGCCCAGGGGGAGTCAATTGCCAAGAACCTTTTTTCATTGTGATATAATTAATCGCAATGGATTGTGGCAGCTCTTATATCCTGACAAGGAGCCATAATGCCTCTACACTCCTAATACCAAGAACAATACCATCAGATCAGACAGTAATCAGAGGATATAAGAAAGTCCAAAGGAGATTTGTACACTTGCTATGTTCCTCACACCAGAGGGATAGCATCAGCAATTATACGTTGAGTAGTGGAGGACCACAAGCGAGTGCAAAGCAAGTGGTGAATTTGATGAAAATCACATTGCTTCCAATATTTTGTTCATACTGCAAATTTAGTGTGGATTCAGTGGTGTTTTATGTGTCAAATCAACAGCCTTATACATTAGGGTTCAAATTGGATTCATTTCTAAAGCAGGGTGTGAGAAACTAACAAGAGAAAGCGCAATACTGGATTTGGTTCTGACAATGAGAGGGTGATAAGCCGCAACAACAACAACTTGCATTTATATAGCGTCCTTCAGGCAGGATAACACTTCAGAGCGCTTCACAAAGATGGGGACGAAGCAAATAATGTAGAATTCGAGAAACATCTAGGATTCAGTTACCAGAATGTTAAAGGCTTTCTCGAAGGAAGTTGACTTCGGTGATTGGGTGTCCCACGGATAATTTGCAAAGTTCATTCAGTCCAGATAAGGGAAGTGGACTCACTCCTGACTGAATGAGTGACAATGAATGCATGTAGTTGAGCGAATGAGTGCAAACATTCCTTCCTCTCCGCCAATCACCAACAAATTAGCCTATTACCATCAAACAATGCATATTGGGAGACGTGTTTCCTGCAGACAGTGTTCAAAGCTGCACTGGCACTGGCAAAGAGAGAATTGTACCTGTATCAGGTCCTTCCACGTTTGCATTTGATGAGCTTGGCTGAGCAGACGAAACCCAATGGAATTGCTGTTTGTGGGTTTCTGGCTTGACCCCAGCCCAGCCTGGGACATTCATTGAGGTTCAAGATTATCGTGGCTCTAATGGAGGTTACTCAGACCTAGATATGATTGGCACATTTTACATATCAGCCCAAAGCTCTTTAAATGTTTGCAAGAAAAAGTGGTATCATTTTCCAATTTATTTTCAAAACACAAAATTTATGGGTTTCCATAAACTTTGATTTTAATAGTTTCCTACAGCGGTATTGATATCGCCTGCAAGTTCTTTTATTTCAAATTGAAGCATGCAATTTCCAACACCTTCCAACTGCAGTGATCCCAGATTTACAAGGTAATCATAAAAATTGATAATGCATCATTTTCATTACGTTCAAATAGTACAACTCACGATTTGATGGGTTTATATAGATAATCATTAACTATTTGATTGGTTATATAGAGAAAGAATAGCCACACACAACACCAAGGGAAAAAAAAACCCTGCCATTTACAGTATTGGAGAAGCAAATTTTAACACAATGCTCAATAGTGCACTGTGTAATATAGTGTAACCATTTATGGCTATGGTTTTAGTGGAATATTTACTAATAATAATCCTTGCATTTGATATAGCACCTTATCATATCGTTGAGACGTCTCAAAGTGCTTCATAGAATATACTGTAAAGTGAATTGACTGTATATTTGTGGGCGAAAGTTTATATAAATTATAAGCTCAGTTATATAAATGCAAGTTGTTGTTTGTGATGGGTGGGTATTCGGGGATGATGAGATCAAATGGGCTAAAGGGTCTTCTTGATCCAATTTTCATTTATGATCTTGTGACTCAATACAAACCCAGCATTCCAGGTTCAAGGACTAATAGGTATTTAGGTATTTTGTGGGCAATATCCAGCAGCCAACTGCGCACAGCAGTGTCCCTCAAACAGTCATGGATTGAGTGACAAAATTCTTATTTGTTTATTTGATTTTATTTAATTAATGAATCATTTAATATTACACTGTCCAGCGCCTTGGGATGTCCTCCCAACACGAAAGACGGAATACAAATGTCATTTTGTATTGTGTCATAGTAGAAATAGAGACATTTAAGATTTTAAAAAATGTACAGTGGGTTTAAATTCCAGGTCCGATCTTTGAGCTGATAGGTTAGACTGTCACTTAAATGCAATGCTGAGGGGAACACCACATTATCCAAGGTGCCGTCCGCCTGTTCATGTTAACATTAAGGATCCCATGGGCTACTTGGGACGAGAGGAGAGTTTCTCCCAGGGTCCTGGCCAACAATATTTCAGGTAAAATAAATCACCTCATAGCTGTTTTGTTATGCTATGCTCAAATTGGCTGCCAAGTTCACCTACAAATGCACATCACTGCACTTCACAGAGAACACTGTGAAACGCTTTGAAATGTTTCCAACGTGGTTAGACTCCAGAAGTACCTAACATAACCTCTGGGGTCCCCAAGCCTTGGCTCTTGCCAACCTGCACCTAGTACTTTTCGGAATTAGCTAAGAGGATGCATCCCTCCAGGGAGAAAGTAAACGTTCCATTCCTATAAATATCTCTGAAATTCTAAAGCATTTTTCACCGGAACAGTTATAATATATTTCTCACACTTTTCACTGAAAAGGATTGATTGAATTAGAAAAGTTACCCCCAGAGGCCGAGGGTTTAATTTAAATAGATTTCATGCAAAAAAAATTCAATTAAAATTCTTCAAACAATCAAATAAAATATTTAAGGAAGCACTTGCATTTTTGCAGCACGTTGTCAGGTCAAAATGTCTCAATGCATTTCGTCGGTAATTACTGTCACTTGTTGTGACTGATTTGGTCGGAAGCTGTATCAGCTGTTTATACAGAGTTACGTAGAATGATAAGGCATTGGAATAGGCCATTGGCCCAACTGGTCCTTTTTCTTTTCGTCCTCTTTCCTTTCTCCCTCATCGACACGTCAAGTTTACACTTAGATGTGGAGTCCTGTAGCTCAGTGATTAGAGCAAGCGAGAGACCTGGGTTCGATTCCCGGCAGGGCAAAACGTTGGGCAAGTTTTCTTACTCCACACGTCTGTTTACCTAGCAGGAAGTAGGAAGCTGGTCGGTAGTCGACTGGGGGACTGCTTTTCAGGGGGTAATAATTCCTTTTTTAAAAAAATTGTCATTCAATCCACGACTGTTTGTGGGACACTGCTGTGTGCCCTTGGCTGACGCATTTCGCCCACAAAATATACAGTCAATTCAGTATATTCTGTGGAATGCTTTGAGATGGCTCGAAGACCTGATAAGGCGCTATATCAAATGCAAGGATTATAATTATTAATATATTGATGCTATTTGCTTCAACGACAGTTTGCACCAACAAGTTCCCACAAATAGCAATGAAGAAAATGGCCAGTTAATCTGGAATGGAGAGTTGATGACTTGGACAGTGGGAGAAACTCCCTCCTCTTTTTGAATAGTATTACAGAATTTTTACAGAGTCTTCTTGAACACCAGTGGAAAGGCACCCTCTTTAACGTCTCATGTAGAAGATTGTAACTGACAATGTTCAAAAGATGACTCACTCATGAATCAGTCTTAAATACAACAAACTATTTGGCTTTAGAACTTCTTGTTTCCATTAAAAATCCATTTGATCAAATTGTGATACATCTTGTCTCATTAAAAAATGCGCTCATTGTAATGTAAATCTTCCTTGCAGATCACTTAATGGATTAGAATGTGGGTATGATTGCCTGAGACATGTCCAATGTGCTTAGTGCAGTGGGTCCGTTCTCAGAGATCAGTTAATGGAGAAAACACATGTGCATAGTATCAGGAGTCCACACATTAAACTAAAGAGTCAGAGTGAACTTTCTGGAGATTATCTGCCCAGAAACGCAACGTGGTATGTTAGTGTCAAAGGTGGTCATTACATAGAGGCTTAACTATATGCGGTTGTAATTATGGTATATTATACTCATTATTAAAAATCCATCAATCACCCATCAATTGTTCTTTGTGAACGTAGTTAATGTGTTTGTTTGTATTAAAATCTTCTTCCTAATGTTTTTGTATACTTGGCCATCTTAATTCTACGGTGGGCTCTCCCCAGTCCAGTTGTTCCATTTGTGCAGACGCGCTCAGGGATGCTAC